TACCAGTGATGGTGTTCATTCATGGGCCAGGAGCCTTTGTTGCTGGAGCAGCTCAGCAATTTGGTCCCCAGCCCCTGATGAGACATGATGTGGTCCTGGTGACTTTTGATTACAGACTAGGGGTTTTGGNATTGCCAACACAAATGTTACTTCAAAAATTGCTGATTTATGTGTTTTTCTGTCTTTTTCGCTCAGCTTGTTGAAAATAGTACTGATTGTCTCATTTCAGATGATATTTAAACTGATTCAATCAATGTATTTCAACACAATATGAACATTTGGGGAATTGAATACTGATACCTCATCTGTACAGTACATGTTTCTTGTAATTTTGCCTGAAATTTATTTGCAATTGTATTGCAAAATGTCCCTATGTCGATTCAATGTCCTCATGTTGGGACATTTTTGTGATTTTTTAATGGTAAAATAAGTGTCCCTAGGTCGAATTGTCCGCTGGTTGAGGCGTCCGCATGTGGGGGTCTCACTGTAATTATATGAAGTATTAACAGGTTGGCTAAAATTTTGAATTAAATTGTGGAAGAATGTGGTCTCATAATATACTGTACCTCTTAAAATTGTCAGAAGAATGTAAACCATGTTTGGCCTGTCACTCTGTCACCAAAACAGATAACAGGGCTCTTTTGCATCACCAATTAAAGTGGGATATGATGACTCAACATTTTTTTTCATTTTAAGATGCATTTATCAGATAAATAGTTGAACAAGAATCTTCATATAGAACATTAGCAAGACAATTGTAGATCTTTTGGCACACCTTTTATTTACCTGAACAGAGTTCTTGTAAGGCTCAATTGGTGTATGTATGGGTAAACATGTTTTTGAGCCTTTTGATATTTCTCTTTGGAATGTATATAGACAATGTTTTGTCTACCTCATCCTATACACAAGATAACGAAGTTTTTCCCTTTGTCAAATTAATCGGCGATCTCAGAGATTAATAGTTTTTATTTTATTCTCGATCATACTTGGCAACATTTTCTCAATAATGTCAGTTGAGATTGAGAATTATTGAAAATACGTACTTCACTTTACTAACATTAATATTTATCAGTTGCTTGCCTCTCAAAACTTTAAAAAAGTTTTCATGAATTTTCTTTTGAAAATTCTGGCAGTATTGAAATATTTCAGAGAAATTTTAACAATTTTTGCTCATGTCATTCGCTGTCAAATATGTTTTATGTCGAAATTGAGTCGCACTTTTACAGTTTGAAAATGTGTTATTTCACAATATTTTTGAACTAATCGTTTTACTTGAAAAATATTTTTGGGAGTTCCTTTGATAATCAGAGCTTCCATTGGTTTTTTGGAATTGTCTGGTCAGGTGAAGTGACCAGAAAATCCCACAACAGTCTTGCATGTTCCCTGGCCTCAGATTGGCCAAAAAATAGGAAAATCTAAGAAATCATCCTACTGCATCGTCAGCTGATGCAGGAGGAAACCTTCATGGGTTTCCTGTCTGGTTTTCTCAGCAACATAGCTTGTTGCTGCTGTTCTGGAGCTCAGAGCTTCAAATTTAAAAAAAAAAACTGAACATTTCAAGGTACATGTAATTGAGGATTACAAAAGGAGGCAAGAAAAGGATTGATTCCAAAAATAAAACAAATCATGCAACTGTTGGGTTCAGCTGGAAATTGTGAGGAATAAATCCTCAACAAATAAAGATGGAAATTAAGTTGAGAAAAACAGACTAGTTTTTGTAAATAAAACACAAGAATTTGGTTGGGCTGCAACCGGGGTGAAGAATCACCCTATTATTAGGTTGTTGCACTTTGTTTTTTATGCACAAGTTTGAAAAGGTATTGATTTTTGCAAGAGTGAATGACAGAACAACACACGCAAATGCTCAAATTGGAATGAATGATTTTTGCCAATTTGGGAAAACAGGAAAACTGTCCTTCAAGGACAAAAACCAGCAACAGGATTTTAGCAATAAAATGCAGCCTTGAAGGCTCAGAAAAGAAACATGAGAACCAAGGTCTTATTCCAAGATTCTCACAGACATGGAATAAAATAAGAGTTTTTACTGAGAATTTGGTTTCTCTGATTTTGGTTTGTCAAATTCAAGGATGAAGCTATTTAATTTTTGTGACAGGAATTTCCTTAGAAAATCCCAAAAAGATGAATGCATAAATGTTTTCCACTTTTCCCCATAATTAATTCCCAGAACGCACACAATAGAAATATCAGAACAAATTTGAATGACAACTGGCAGCAGACTGACTCAAGAATAATAGTAATATCCATAAAATACTGGAAGAGTGACCTTCAATGGTTTTCACTCTCTCCCTTCCAGGAATCTGTGCTGCTGCACCTGATATTGGCTGAAAGGGATAAATTAATGGTTCAAATATTCAATTAACAGGGACTGCCATTCAATTCAATATTTCCAGAGCATCCCATAGATAATTTGACACACATTATTAATTGATGATGTAATTATTCCTCCACAGTATATGTTTCAATAACACATGGTTCAAAAGAGCTGAGAAGTATATGTACAAATGGTCAGTGATCTCATTGAGAAGTTGTTTGCCTAGCCTGTTGAAACCAGTGAACCTGAGAAAAATGTCATTTTTAATCCCTGGGGTGTTCATATCATTTCAAGTCCCCACAGAAACGTGTAATAACCCCTTGTATCAACACTTGAAAAAAAAACTCTCATCAGTACAGTGAGACCCCCATCATGCGGACGCCTTGACATGGGGACGATTTGACATGGGGACATTTATTTTTTAACAAAAAAATCATAAAAAAGACCTGACATGAGGACACTGACTCAACCTGGGGACATTATTGCAGGATAAAATTCCGAAATAAATTTTAGGAAAATCAATTTTTATAAGGCTTAATTGCAAGAAACATATGTTTCCAGCCTAAGATCTATGCAAGAAAAATTCTTTGGTACTTTTCCCATAATTTTCCCATCCATTCAGCTAATTTAAAAAATGCCCTATAGCACAGAGGGACTTCCGTCTAGCTCTCTTTGTGACATGGATGTTATTTTTCCAGATGCCAACTTTTCAATTTACTGTACAGAGTTACACTATTCATTGTTCCAAATGTTCTTATTGGTTAGCTCTCTTTGTGACATGGATGTTATTTTTCCAAATGCAAACTTTTCAATTTACTGTACAGAGGTACACTATTCAATGTTCCAAATGTTCTTATTGGTTTGAAAAGATATTCATTGAATCAAATTCAAGTGGCAAAAATTTTTTTCATGAAATTCTGAAGAATATTTCTTCCATAAGACACCAATTAAAAATTATACAATGTAAGTCTATGGGAAAACAAGATTTGACTTGGGGACAATCCAACAGCATAGGGACACTCTTGATACACCAATTATGTCTGCATCTGGGGGTCTCACTGTAAATGTATTTTTTTAAACTTGTTTCCCGCTCTTTTGGCAACATTGCAGAGAGCCAGGTTAATCTTTCACAAATTCACTTTTTTATTTTAAAAATCTGATTTTTCTCCGATATTTTTTCAGGGCTGTTATCGCAAGAACTCCGTCGTCACGGAGTGTCGAAGTCCCAGCAGAGCGGCGGTGATTCTCCTGACTCTATTTCCACCATAGCCTCTATCAGATCCGCACAAGAAACCCCGGTTGTGGAAGTTGACACAGATGTCGCGCCAATCGCCCCAAGGGATAACCTGGTCAATTAAAAATGTTACACTTTTATATTTGAAATGTTTATGAACAATTTAAAGTTATACATTCCTTGTTGGAATTTGTATAATGATCAATTTCTTTTTGGAAATAAAAAAAATGGAATGCAAAGACACTTTATATATGAGATATTTTTGAAGGTCCCAATTCTGAAGAGGAAAGAAAACAGAACTCCAACTGCTTCTTTCAAGATGTAACACCCACAATGATGGATCTGCATACCCATAGCACATTCAGAATCAAAATGAAATACAATCTGATGCTATAAAAAATCAAGGGTTGCCAAACCAGCTGCAGCAGTATTAAGATTGTTGTAAAAGTTCCCAAACCTGAAATCTTTCTTTTTCAAGAGTTTATAAGCAATTTATATGCATCCATTACTGGGTAGCTTTTGTTTGAAATTTTCTATTGGTGAATCACTTGTTGAAATAAAGTTCAATGCAAAGAACCCTTTTCATAAATGAGATTGTATTGAAGCTTCCATTTTTGAAATGATGAAAAACAGAACTTCAAGTTTTTCTCCCAAGGGCAATGGTTTGAAAAGATATTCATTGAATCAAATTCAAGTGGCAAACATTTTTTTTCATGAAATTCTGAAGAATATTTCTTCCATAAAACACCAATTAAAAATTATACAATGTAAGTCTATGAGAAAACAAGATTCAACTTGGGGACAATCTGACATAGGGACACTCTTGATGCACCAATTATGTCCATATCTGGGGGTCTCACTGTACTTGATTGGGTACAGATGACTCTGCTTCATTTCCTGAGACTCCTTCTTATATTGCCGATTATGAGTGCTGCTATGAATAAAATGCACCCAATGTTTGGCCTGTCTCATATATATATATATATATACATGTATGTGTGTTGTCCCACAGATACCATAGATAAGCCCAAATACAACGAGACGGTATCTTTTCCCTTCCCATCGCAATAATTGGTCTTATGTCGCTGTTTCGCTCGCGGAATATCTGACATGGGCTCAACCAACATCGACTCATTCGTCGGCGTCTCACACGTGTGTCTGATGATGATCGTTTTCTCGGCGGCGACAAAGATCCACGCAGTGCAGGAGAAGTTCGTCATGAAGCCCGTCCAACAGCATCATCAGCAGCAGTCGCATCAAGAAGCAGTGATGAGCTCAGGCTTGACCCAAGCCAACAATAACGGGGTCAGCAGCAGCAGCATCAACGTGACCCTCGGGGTGATGGGGAATAATAAAGACGCCAGCAGCAGCAGGAAATCCCCGGGGTTCAATAATAATAATAATAATAACAAGTATGCTGGCCAACAAGAGGCGATGATCATCAGAGCTGCTGCTGCTGATCAGGATAATTACGGGAACAGTAATAGAATGATGTCATCATCATCAGCTGCTGCAAAAGTCGTGAATAATTTCGCGGGGAATTCGGGACAATTGCCATCAGGAGGAGTTGTGATCGGTTTTGGGTCTGGATCGAGTTCCAGTTTTTTGTCAAATGGGTACGAAATTCGAATTCTTGTTTTCTTTTTTTTCAATAGCTCTATAATTTTGCAATACTGTACATAGTGAGGGGCCTCGAAATACGGACTTGATTATTTCCAGGAAAGTCTCCATCATGAGTCGGGACATCTGCATTTTTTTTTTTGTGGCATTTTTGAAAAATCAGCTTTTCCTTGCTTTCCTTCCTCTCTTATAGACTCTTGATCCATTTTAATGCACTTTAATGAGCCTAAAAATAAATCAGAACACAATAAATCTATAGCACAAAAATTGAATAGGAAATACTGTATGTTGAACAACACATATTTCAAATATTTGAATTCAAAAGCATGGCATTCAAAAACATCAGCAAATAGAATCAAAGCTAAATCAAAAGAGCCAGAAAATTGAGAGTGAAAGAAAAAAAGTTGTGTGCAGATTTTAAGGGGGTGGGGGGGGGTATGGGGATAATCTGAGGAAAAGCAGAAATTTTACTCCAATTAAAATTTCCTCTGTCTCTAAATCACCCTGTCCTAAATTGGTTGTGTCTCAAATGGCCCCTGTCTCAATTTTTCCCTGTCTCAAATTGTCCATATCTCAAATTGTCCCTGTCTCAAATTGTTCCAGTCTCGAATTGGCCATATCTCAAATTTTCTGTCTTGATTTGTCCAGTCTAAAATTGTCTCTCTCAATTTGTCTGTATCCCATTTTGGATCATAGTTTCTCTTAAGGCAAAAGAAAATTATAAATCCCATTTTCCTGCTTGAAAAAATTAGGAAAAATTCCTTTGAAGATTGAATGAAAAATATGTTTTCAACTTTAAGATACAGAAGATAACTGCGGAGCAGAGCAGAAAACCAAACAAAATACAAAACAAAATTAAAAAAAAGAAATAGTATACATTTTTCTTTACTGCGTTTTTGTATAAAATTGAAGTAATAACAACACTTTCAATTCCAAGCTATCCCTTTTTGTAAAATTAAAAAAAAATCATTGTTGTATACTGCACTAGAAAAAGGAGAACCCAACCATTTTCCCCATTTGGCAAAATTTCCAAGTGTAGACTTTGAAACTTGTTCATATTCATGACTTTTTGGCCAGGAATTCTTTTTTAAAGCAAATTTGCATATACAGTAGTTTATTTTTAATTCATTCATCATGCAAGAACTCGCAATTCAGAAAATATTGTTAATCATCCTCATTTCCCAAAGCACTTTATTCTCAAGGAAATACAGTAGAATCTAATTGCAACAAATCTCGTTATAACGAATAATCAATTAAAAAAAGTCAATTTTCCGGTCCCTTTCTGTGATGGCCACAATGTTAAACAAGCTACCTTAAAATGAAGGTTTTTTTTAGCATCCTCATTTATCCAGCACTTTAAGGCCTAGATTAAAAATATTTCCAAATTTACTTCAATTATTTTTCTTTTCTCTTGTACAAAATTCTTTTTTCCTCATAAATGTTGGTTTTCCAAACTCAGGAATTTTCAAAGTCAAAATTCTCTGAGTTCAATGAGAAAAGGGGTTTGACTGTTGTTGTATATATTCCCCTGGAATCATCCCTATATAGTGCAAAGGGAGCATCAGCCCAGCAGCAGGGCAGTGAATCAAGTGCTCCATCAGGGTCCCAGAAAAGCAGAAATTTTACTCCAATTAAAATTTCCTCTGTCTCTAAATCACCCTGTCCTAAATTGGTTGTGTCTCAAATGGCCCCTGTCTCAATTTTTCCCTGTCTCAAATTGTCCATATCTCAAATTGTCCCTGTCTCAAATTGTTCCAGTCTCGAATTGGCCATATCTCAAATTTTCTGTCTTGATTTGTCCAGTCTAAAATTGTCTCTCTCAATTTGTCTGTATCCCATTTTGGATCATGGTTTCTCTTAAGGCAAAAGAAAATTATAAATCCCATTTTCCTGCTTGAAAAAAATAGGAAAAAGTCTTTTGAAAATTGAATGAAAAATATGTTTTCAACTTTAAGATACAGAAGATAACTGCACAGCAGAGCAGAAAACCAAAAAAAAATACAAAACAAAATTAAAAAAAAGAAATAGTATGCATTTTTCTTTACCGCGTTTTTGTATAAAATTGAAGTAATAACAACACTATTTCCAAGCTATCACTTTTTGTAAAATTTACAAAATCGTTGTTGTATACTGCACTAGAAAAAGGAGAACCCAACCTTTTTCCTCATTTGGCAAAATTTCCAAGTGTAGACTTTGAAACTTGTTCATATTCATGACTTTTTTGGCCAGGAATTCTTTTTTAAAGCAAATTTGCATATAGTTTATTTTTAATTCATTCATCATGCAAGAACTCGCAATTCAGAAAATATTGTTAATCATCCTCATTTCCCAAAGCACTCTATTCTCAAGGAAATACAGTAGAATCTAATTGCAACAAATCTTGTTATAACAAGTAATCAATTAGACAAAAGTCAATTTTCAGGTCCCTTTCTGATGGACACAATGTTAAACAAGCTACCTTAAAATGAAGGTTTTTTTTAGCATCCTCATTTATCCAGCACTTTAAGGCCTATAGATTAAAAAGATTTCCAATTTTACTTCAATTATTTTTCTTTTCTCTTTATTTCTTTTTTCCTCATAAATTTTGATTTTTCTGACTCAGGAATTTTCAAAGTCAAAATTTTCTGAGTTCAATGAGAAAAGGGGTTTGACTGTTGTTGTATATATTCCCCTGGAATCATCCCTATATAGTGCAAAGGGAGCATCAGCCCAGCAGCAGGGCAGTGAATCAAGTGCTCCATCAGGGTCCCCTCAACTTGCAGTACAACCACAAGACCAGCAGCAGCCAATCAACAACCATAATAACAAATGGGTATCAACAGAAACCTCTGAGGAAGCCTTCAACAACAGACTCCCTCTTCGCCAAGCTTCATCACCTTCTTCCTTGCCACCATCTTTTGATGGTGGCAGACCTGCACCTGTCATAGGCATCACAAAAGAAATGTCTCAGCAGCAGCAGCAGCAGCACTCATCAGCCAGACACATTTCTGCACCAACTGGTCCCACTAACAACATGGTGGAGTATCTCAGGACAGTGTTTGAGAAACTGAGCGCTGTTTCTTCTTCTTCTTCTTCAACTACTACTACTACTACTACTACAGCTACTACTTCTTCTGTCACTGGTGTCACTACCATGCCCATCAGCAACAGTGACAGTGCCAGTGCTACCGTCACCTTCAATGGTAATAGAATAGTGACATCTGATTTTGAGTTGTGGCAGTTGGACGGTGTGTGTCCAGAGCATTCCAAGTATTTGAATGCTGCGACAGGGATCAACAAGAGAGACCAGGACAATGTGCATGACCAGGCTATGTCTATTGGCAGGATGATTGACCTGATTTTGAAGGATTCCCTGGTGAGTGTTTCACTGCTGTCTTGGTGATTATTAAATTTTGAATACAAGTTGAATATATATGTACTGTATGATGATGAGCCCAGTAATAACTGCTGCTGAGCATTGGGACAGTGGATTAATATGTTGCTGCCATCTATAGGCAGATCTACCAAGGATTTTAGGAACAAACATGAAAAATTTGATATTATATCAAAATTACCATAAGTAATGATATTTTGGAAAAAGAAAGAAAGTATGCTTCTCTTCTAACCCTTGAATAAGTACGTTTCTATCCTGGGAATACTTTGATGAAAATTACTCAAAGAAACAGGACAAAAGGAGATACCTTTGAAAAAAAATTTCAAAAGACATTTATGTACAGCATGAGAGAGAAAAATTCCACAAGTACAGTACAAGTGAAATTTCCTCATAAAGTAAAATTTTACACATAGGGGTAAACAACTTTTTGCTTGATAGAAAATTTAATTATTAACACAAATACTTATAAAATTAGGAAAATAAATTTGCCATCTACAGTATAAAAATTTGGTTTCAGTGCTTTTCTTGAAAAAAATCCGGTGGTAAATTTCAAAAAGGCTTTGTAATGCAAAAAACACTAACCAATTTTGAATACACTTCTTCATCTCTTGATACATTATTTGAAAAATGAATAATTATTTGGTTGGCTTATCAACATCTGCCTCAGTGCCAAAGTTTGCTGATACAGTATTAGTTTTTTTTAGACCATGTGATGAAATTTCTTCAACTATATAGAGCCATATACTGATAATCAGGTTAAGTATAAATGAGGGTAACACCAGAAGATTTTCAAAATGTTTCATCTGCTTTTACCTTATTTGACATACAAGTAAAAAATCTCACATCTGGAGAATGATGCATATATGAAACACATCAGCAGATGTCACATCATCACCCATCAAACTTATAAGATTAAAATGCAACAAATCACAGTACAGTAAAATCTCATCACAACACACTTGTGGCAACTTCAGAAAACATTTGTTAGAATGAATAATTTTTTATAACAGGATATTCAAAATTTTCTACATGATGGAAAGATTAAAAAATTAAACATACATAAATTCAGCATCTTCCTTTTGTGGTCTTTTCAGATGTCTTGTAAAAACTGTGATCTTCAAAAATAAATTTAAATGTTGATTAGAATTATTTACTCTAAATAAGAGGTACACCTAGCACTTTTCTTTACTTCAAGCTAAGCAATTCCTGTACAGATATGTAAGTATGAGGACATTTCAAAAAGGCCTACAATTTTCAAGCATCAGTATAGGTTTTCTCAAGCATACAAACCCCCTTTAACATGATTTTTTCTGAGTTCATTTTTTTTAACTCCTCCCCCCCCCATCTTTCCTAATAACCTAGGAAAGAAGAAAGTTTGTTAGGGTGAATTTTGAAGCATTTTTGTGTTTGATTCCACTTTATGTCCAAAGAACCAGTCACAATCACATTCTGAATGGGAATTTTGAGACTGTTCCTGTCTTCATTGGGGATTTTTCATGAAGAAATCACATGTTCCTCAAAAAGTATTGGATAAACTGGAATTGGTGACGAGTTTATTTTAACAAGATTTTTATAGCACATACACTGTAGGATTTCTGCTGGTACTTTGAAATAAGTTTGTTTTACTGAAAAATGTGTAGTAACAGTACTTGTTGGAACAAGATTTTACTAGTATTCCCTGAAATTATTTTATAAAGCAGATCATTTATCAAAATATAGTTTCTCATCAAAGAGAAAGCATCGATTTTTCCCCCAATAAGATACACATGGGACCCACAATATTCCTTTGGCTAAGCATCATTTTCTGCAGCTACATTGATAACACAATGCATTCCGTACTTATTAACATTTCAAGATGGTGTTTCATCAGCAGCATCAGGGCGATTGATGTGAATATCATAATATTTTAAACACTGTAACAGCACAGTTATGCAGTTGAAAGATGCGACTTCATCAACCAAACCTTTGAGGAATGGGAAGCTTCAGAGCCTGATGATACCTGTGTCCCATCTCCAGAACTAAGCACGATGCCCAACAAATGCACTGATAGCTGTGAAACCAATGGTTACGTGAGTATATGCCATTGCTCAATATTCCTAAAACTATGCAAATTTGAACTTAACGTATATATTGTACATTATAGACAATATATAGGTTTACCACCTTTAAAAAAACGTTTTTTCTTTTAAAACTTTTAAAAGAAGTTTACCACCTTAAAAAAAACGTTTTTTCTTTCTTTTAAAACCTTTAAAAGAAGTTTACCACCTTTAAAACAAATGTCTGAACTGCAGTTGTAGATCATGCATGATGGTTACCCAGAATCAGTTAATGTACTAGATTTGTGCCAGTAGTTGTATGTGTCCTCTGCTATTTCCAGAGCAGAGATGATTGTAAAAAATTTTTTACATAGCCCATGACAATGATGTTCTAAGTTTCTGGGATTTTTTCAAATTAAAAAAGGGTTTCCTAATACAGTACTGTAATGTGCTTGATGATCAGTGAAAATTTGCCAGTTACAGCCAGAGTTCTTTTACCAATATGTCACAGGGAGGGTATGTACAAATTGATACAGACAATTTGAGACTGGACACATGGAGACTGGAAATTTGAGAAAGGGGCAATTCAAGACAGGGACAATTTGATACAAAAACAATCTTAATGAGGAGAGGAATTTGTTTAGATTCATTCAAAGATTTGAATTGTTTCCCTTGATGAGGAAAACTCATTTGACAGTTGACAGTGATGATGGACAAAAAGGACAAGAAACACCCTGGGATCATGGAATTATTACCAAACAGTACAATTTTTGTTCATTTTCACACCTTAAACATAAGATAATATAAGGAGAAACACAGTCAAGTCATTTTGTCTGGAAATGTACAGTGAGACCCCCACATGCAGATGCCTCGGCATGGGGACATTTATTTTTTAACAAAAAAATCATGAAAAAAACCCCCACATGAGGACACTGACTCAACCTGGGGACATTGCCGGATAAAATTCCAAAATAAATTTTAGGAAAATCGATTTTTATAAGGCTTAATTGCAAGAAACAGATGTTTCCAACCCAAGATCTATGCAATAAAAATTTGTCCGTGCTTTTCCCATTAATTTCCCATCCATTCAGCTAATTAAAAAAATGCCCTATAGCACAGAGGGACTTCCTTCTAGCTCTCTTTGTGACATGGATGTTATTTTTCCAGATGCCAACTTTTCAATTTACTGTACAGAGGTACACTATTCAATGTTCCAAATGTTCTTATTGGCTTGAAAATATATTCATTGAATCAAACTCGAGTGGCAAAAATATTTTTCTTGAAATTCTGAAGAATATTTCTTTGATAAATCACCAATTAAAAATTATACCATGTAAGTCTATGGGAAAACAAGATTCAACTTGGGGACAATCTGACATAGGGACACTCTTGATGCACCAATTATGTCCGCATCTGGGGGTCTCACCATATTTGCCCATGTCTCACAAAGTTTCAGTCTCAAATTGTCCCTGTCTCCAAAAGTTTCAGTCTCAAATTGTCCCTGTCTCCAAAAGTTTCTGTCTCAAATTGGCCCTGTCCAAAATTGTCTCAATTTGTCCTATAGATCCATCACATAGGGTCCTGAAAATGTGTTAGGCCAGCTAAAAAGAATGAATTTTCGTTTGTTTCACCCATTATATTTTCCAAATTTTAGATAATGATTAAAACAGCTGGGAAGCAAATTGCAATTTGTTGTCGTGCAAATGGGTTTTACAATCAATACGAAATTTTTAGTTCGTATTGAAAACCTTTAAGAGGATGACCGCAATTTT